ATCTAGATGTTAAAATTTATTGTGAGAAGATGTAAGAACCGGGCTGGTATTGTCTCAGTGAACAATCGAAAAGAATCACATGAGGTTGTATGAATGAGAATGTATATCATATGATGAGTGCAAATAAATAGGGAAATATAAATTGATGGGTGTAGAGTTAGAGGACTTTAAAATGACAGGTTAAAGCCCCCAACTTGGTTTATTATTTTAGGTTCTGATACGAGAATGTTAGCACCCAGGTGGAGGGAATCGAGGGAACTCTAGAGTGAGATCTAGTATCTTCCCTGCCTAGCCGGTCTTCAGAACTATTCACTTTAAATTAGCCAATGTTCTTTATAGCATCTCTTGTAAGAGTAAAGAATATTATTGCTCCTATTTGGCACAACACAATTTGCATAATTCCACAACAGAATTCCTATACTTATTACTGATTCATGATAAGAAGAAAGATATTTTCATATTAAACAGTTTTCTTCTACAGGAATTTTAGTTATCTTTTTACTGTTTCGTTAAAATATCAAAAATACCAAAAATATTTTAATTTTAAATTCATACAAAAATTATTTTTTAGTTTAAGTAATTATCTTTTTAAAAAATAGAAAAACTTTCTAAAAAGTGCATATTGCATAATCTTCCCTATGAGTTTGATATTCAGGTCTTAATCAAAAAGTCCTATATTACTTGATAACAACACATATACTTATGTAATAACCCAATATAAATATATATAAATTAAAAAATTAAATTTTTATTTTTCTTCAGAATGAAGTTTTTGGTTTTGTTGCAAAATAAGGAAATATAAGTGAAAAATATCATCAGAACTATTGCTATATTGTGCATAAGCATTAAGTATCCAATGATCAAGTTTTTGGCGTCTTTGCCGGGGAAGAAAACTAAGTAAATTTCTATTTTCTTAGAAAGTCTTATTTAAATTTTAAATATTGTATCTCATTTTGTATGTTTTATTTTATTTTATTTTTATTTTATGTTAGTGTATGCGTAGTTCAGGTTCTGAAGGAGTAGTGTCCTATGATTCTGAATTAGAAAGAACTATTAGAAAAATCAGAAAAACCAAAAAAAAATTAAAAATCTTGAAAAATACAAAAAAATTACAGAAATGACAAACCAAAATAATTAAAATATTGAAATTCATCAAGAGTCTAGACCTTTAAGAGATTATACCAACCCTACTATGGATGAACTTCATTGTAGTATTCAAAAATCTAATGTAGTGGCTAATTCATTTGAGCTTAAACCTGTTATTATCCAAATGGTATCAAATAATCAGTTTGGTGAATCACCAACTGAAGATCCAAATTTATATCTTATCAATTTTCTAGAATTATGTACTACATTTAAATACGATGGTGTTTCAGATGATGCCATAAAACTTAGGTTATTTCCTTTCTCACTGAGGGATAAAGCTAAAGTGAGTTTGAATTAGTTAGCACCTAAATCTATCAGAACTTGGGGTTATTTAGCACAAAAATTCCTTGCTAAATATTTTCCACCATAAAAAACTACAAAGCTTAGAAATGTTATTACATCTTTTAATCATGTTGAAGGGGAATCTATTTATGAAGCATGACAACGATTTAAAGAACTCTTAAGAAAGTGTCGACACCATGCTATACAAGATTGGTTATCAGATCGGTTAATAATTTAAACCTTTTGTTATGGATTAATTTGTTCTTTTAGATCTATTATCGATGTCGCTGGTGATGGTTCATTGATGTCAAAACCATTTCATGCGCCCATGCTTTAATTGAAGAGATAACTACCAATAATTTTCAATGGCCTTCTGAGAGAGTGTATCCCAAAAAAGTAGCCAATATTCATGAAACAGATGCATTTACTATATTAGCAAATCAAGTTGCTGCAATTTCAATGAAGTTAGACCAATTTGGAATGAATTTTTCTCAACAAATTTCTATCATTGAAGAGAATTCATTAGGCCAAAGTGTAGATTCTCAACATCATTAGAGACTTTGAATGCCATAAATAATAAGCAAAATAACCCATATTCCAATTATTATAACTTAGGTTGGAAGAACCATCCCAACTTTAACTGGAATTACAATTTAGGTAGTAATAATCAGCAATTGGGGAACAACCAAGTAAATCTATTGGGAAACTGGAGCAACCAAGAGAATAATAATTATAGATCTACTTATCCTCTAAGTCTCAATAGTAATACACAATTTAAGGAGAAGAAGTTGTCTATAGAAGAAGTGGTGTTACAAATGAGAAATCAATTACAAAGTCAATGAGCTACAATTAGAAATATTGAGAATCAACTTGCGTAAATCGCAAGTTCATTAAGTAATAGATCCTAATGAACACTTTTTAGTAATACTAAATCAAATCCAAAAGTCCAAAATAAAGAGCAAGTTAAATCCGCACAACTTAGAAGCGGAAGAGGGTTAGAAGGTAGGGTTCAAAAAGACATTGAAGTAGAGAGAGAAGAAATTGAAGAATCAAAAGAGGACGCTCCGAAAGATTCTAAAAGACATATTTCTCCACCAAAAATTTGATTTAGAAAAACCACCATCTCCATTTCCTCAGAGACTTTGACAACAGAAATTGGATAAACAATTTTCAAAATTTTTGGAAATATTTAAGAAGCTTACAATCAATATTCCATTTGCTGAAGCCTTAGAACAAATGCTAAGCTATGTAAAGTTTATGAAGGATATTCTCAACAGAAAAAG